AGCTCTTCTAGCTCTCTCCCCCAGGCAAGGTCAACACAAGGGCACTGGGAATAAATCCTTCTATTTCCTCCTTAGAAATCAAACATTAGGATGAAATCCCGTGTCTCTGTCTACAGAGGTCAGTTTTTGTAAGAAACAGATGTAAACGGTTCCATGATAACCGGCGGGGGAGTTGGGGGTGGGGGGCACTATGAAACTTGGAGGGAAATTTAAAGGCACGACATGATTCTGAATCATAATCCTAGCTATTTGCGCTTGGAATTTCCCTCATTTGAGCATCAAAACCCAAAATTCTTCCCTCTTGGTTACAGAGCCTTCAATATCCACTTGTAAGTAAAACATATACACACCCAGGCAGCTGGCCTCATCCAGCCAGTGTGCATTGAAGAGATCTGGGAAGCATCCCCAAACCCTCCTTAGCTAGCGAGGCTGAACCAGCAGCAATTATAAAACCTCCCTCCCTCTCATGATCCCTTCTGCTCACTATAACATGCACATGTGGCTAGTTCTAACTCTGACACACACAGTGGGAGGACAATAAAATATTCAGTGAAAACATCTTGTGAAACATTAAGGAATATTACAAGGGGTTCAGCTGTGGGGGTGGAGTGGGGAGACACCGAAACCACAGTAACCAGTGCTAGTTTGCTGAGGATGCTCCACTATTAGCTGGGGACAAAGAGCTAGCAGCACCAAAGGGATGGTTCAACAAATGGAAAAGCATAATTACTTTGCTGAGAACTGCACACGCATGACTGAGCAACGCTCTTTCCAGAGAGGCTCATTTCGGCCCCCAGATTTGCCTCTCTTTTCACATTTATGGTGGGTGGCAATAACCTGTGGGATCCCACCTAGGAAGAAATAATAATGCCGCGAACACACACTCCTTCTGGAACTTTCACCTATTTTAGTAATTTCTCCATTGCTCAGTCACTTTAAAGGTTCGGAGGTGTTTTCCCTGTGTTTCTTTCCACTTGCAATCCTGCTGGATAAAGGCCACATTGCAAAAATCTCCTCAGAAGACTGGTGAGCTTTCCACTGCAATCCTGCTGACTCCAGAGGTTCAGGTTCTCGGGCTCAGCAACTTAATGGAGCCCCAGCTCCAAAGCCTTTGAAGTTCATCACTTATTAACAAGGTCCGCAGATTGGAGCAACTCCAGGAAGAAAACACAGCGCTGTGTTCAGAACCAAGAGCGGAATGCGAACCACTCTGTAACCTTGGGAAACAAGTGATTAACTGTTTCAACCCAGAAGCACACAAGTATAAAAGTATACTTCTTGAAACCAAGCCTAATATCTGTAACTTTTTCTTTCAGACGTTTTCTCGGCAAAGGATTTGACATCGCACAGCAGTTAAGGAATGACAGAGAGAGCCGACTTCATTCTTCACCCAGACCCCCATCTCTCTGTTCTGTTCAGAAATTTTCCGGATACAAATCCTTTCTGATGAGCCACGACAGGCAGGGATTTTTGCCTATAGAAACGAAGCAGTTTGATTGCAGAAGTTTACTGGTTCAATTAGGTGCCTTTTTGAAAAATGTCTGCATGCATTTCACTTTGAACAGTCCTCAGTAAAACAAGCAGTTTGGATTCTGTGCAGGGCAGGCAGATCCATTACATTTCTTCAAGAAGACGCAGGTCGCATCAACTCCTTCTTCAGAAGGCTGCTCCAGGGTGGGGATGCAGGCAGGTGATGAGAACAGGCTGCCAAGTGTCACAGCAAGTCCTTCCCACAGAAAGAAATCCAAGTGGACACCACAATGTAGATTATTCTAATTTTTAAAAATAAAGTTCTCAAGAGCCCAAAAGAAGTTTTGGATTAGGGTCTTTCCTACTATAGCAATAGTTTCCTTCCCAAACCATAACCTCTAACACCTTGGCTCAATATAGGCAGAAATTTAATAGAATTTAAAATGATTACTTCTTCGCATTCATGGTTACCACCCCTCCAAACAGGAGTTAAACCAGCAGTTTCATCCCAAAACCACCCCGGTAACAGGCTGAACTAAGAAACAAACAAAAAAATACCGTAGTTTGAGAGGCTGTAAAATTTCTCCAGAGCTAGACAGTGGAAGCTTGCTCCTTTCCTGGTTTCCCTGAAGGGTAAAACAGATTCTTGAAAAATCAGCCCAGCACATCCAGTGGATCTTCCCAGATGCAAGCTAAAAGCTAGCAAAAAAAAAAAAAAAAAAAATCCTAATGGGACTAAAGGACACTGCAAACATTTTGAAGCTGCCAAGCCTCTTCAATAACACCACTGAAGGAATGTAAACGAAGCTGGTTGCTCTAGTCGCTAAAGGACAAAGGCAGGAAGTGATTATTCCTCACTCTCCAGAAACACCAGGGTCTGTCACTTTAGACCTAGCTGTGGCTTTCCATGTAGCTCAAAAAGCAACTGCTGAGGTAAAGGTCTATCCTGAAATTTCAGCATACGGGACTCCCTGAGTCATCCGGCCGGACTCCAGGCTGCCGTGACTGCCGCTGAGCAAGATCGTTCAAAGCTGGCTTTCCAGCCCATTACACAGAGAGCCACTAAGGACAGGCACACAGAGTGCCCAATTTCCAGTTCACTGATCAATGGAGCTGGGTCGAGTCACTGGCACTCTTCCAGCTTTTGCTGTACCCGGCCACACGCCAGATCTTGGCAAGATAGAAGGTCTGGAGTGTATCACCCTCCTCCCCTCTTCTCTTTC